ACACATATACACACACACATTATAAATTATAAAAATTATTATATTAATATTAACATTTATATCAATGTACTATATATCTGTATTTAAATATTATATTATATTGAAAATATATATTATATTATAAATGCATTATTTATTTTGTATCCCATTTTCCATGAAATAGGAAAAAATAATCTCATAGACATTTATGTTCTGTATCCGTTTGACACATGCATTTTAAATATGCATGGCCACGAGAGATTGGGCAGGTTTGAGCCGGCGTGGACCAGATTTTACAGGCTACAAAGGAAGCAGATTACCACTTGTATCGAGTTCCGTATTGGAAAAAAAAAAATCTTTGTTTGAAAATCCGCTGATTATCATAACAGAAAAATTGCAGCAGTGCCGTTTCGAATAACAACCACATAAAAAAAAAAAAGCGAAGGAATGAACTCATCACAACATAATTAAACAATTTCGGGGTGGGGGGGGGTTAAGCTTTTTTTTTTTTTTTGCCGTTTCTCGAGAAATGCTTGCGAGTTCAGGTAAAGCAACAAAAGACTGGTTGTCTGGTTTGGTTTAAAGAGGAAAAACACGGCAGAAAAGAACAACAGCAAGCTTAAAGTCTTCCAGATTCTCCTGGTAAAACCTCAGCGAGGACTCGCAATCGTCCAAGCAGCACAAATATGATAGAACAAGGTTTGTTTGGTGTTCATTGGTCTGCAGGGTTGTGTTTAGCTCGGGTGGGCTCACAGCAAACCTAAATAGCCACTTCTATAGCGTATTCACAAACATTGGCCTTTTGAATAATGCAGGCAATGCATTAATAAAGATACAAAAATAATACACAGCTAGGAGCGGCAATGTGGCCTGACTTATTTCCTGGTTCTAATTGTAGAAGTTAATTTTTTTTCTACTTAATATTGGAGATTAACTTAATCATTATAACTATTTTATTGTAATTCCTTTTTTTTTTTTTTAAATGTCTTTTTTTTACCATAGCATGCTTATTGTGTTTTTAGGATATATGTAATGTAACTTTTATTCTTTTGGCACATGACCCCAATGATTTATTTTTTTAAAATACTTTTTGTATTTCATTTTTATATTTTATTTTTAATAATAATAATTTTATTTCCTACATTTTAATTTTAAATGAACTTGAAAAATGATTTTTACTTTTCTTTTTAGTCCTTATTATTTATTTATTTTATATATTTATTTATTTATTTATTTATTGCAACAGGTACTTTATATCAGAAAAAGTGGATTCCTAGATTTACTGACATACTTCAAGATGAGCTTCAACCATAGCTTTGTTGTGAACCCACGGCATATGGGAGAAAAAGATTTGAATCATGCCGTCCCCACTGACAGCGGCCACCACCACATAGATTCTGCCTTTTGAGTGAGGTATTAAGTTTATAATTCATGATCCGAGTTCTGTCTCTTTTCTGATATGATAGAGAATGATTTAAAAATAGCGAAATTCAAAATGACCAGTGCACACAAAAAGAGATGAGAGGCCTTTAATAATGGCCCAGAGCTTCCCCTTAGATCTGCTAACCTTTAATCTCTGGCAAGAAATGGAGATTAAAAAATCACCTGCAATGGCTGACAAATTAAGAAACTTGTCCTTCCCCTCCTCTTCTGAATATGTTGCGTGCTGCCGATAAGCAACTCACCTTTTGCTGAGAACGGCTTGTGTTACATAAAGAGGCTGTAACGAAGAGCTTCTTTAAATGCTTAACGTACTTGATTAAGTTGAAATTGTTAGCCTCTTTCAAGAGCCACTGGATTCACAGCAAGACATGCATTCTCTCTTTTACTAGTTTTAATATGTAATTCCTAGTCACACTTTATTTTAAGGTCCAATTCTTGCTATTAACAAACCATTAACTGACTTTTGCCTCAAACTCCTGATTTGGTGCTGTTTAATAGTTAGTAAGGTAGTTGTTAAGTTTAGGTATTGGGCACAATAAACAGCCAATATGCTGGTAATAGGCATGCTAATAAGCAACTAGTCAATAGTGAGAATTGGTCCCTGTACTAAAGTGCTACCCAATTCCCTTTCATCAAAAATGAATTACCCATACATGCGATTTCTTTTTTTTTTTGTTCCATGGTGGGTTGTTTCCATAATAAGGTGCAACCGCTTGGCTTTATGTTTATGTATACACATTCGTCCCTCATGGGCCTAATGCATAATACACTCTAATTTGACATTGATAGCAAGTCAAAAATGATGTGCACGTCCTGTAATAATAAAAAGGAGCATTGCTTGGTGTCACTTTCTGTTTCTTAGCCCAGAAGTAGGAATCCTGCGGAGTTGTTGTTAAGAAGCCTAAACCTCAAAGCTTCTATTCTTACTGTACGAAATCTGTATTACTGTACCGACTTAAACGCTAGTGTTTTTCCCCCCTCATGCCATATCAAGTGCTGTGATGTGACTGTTTCTCTCCCCCTCTTCCTTGATGATGATAGTTTAGATGTCGTGAGTTGAGAAATCCATTCCCAGTCTCTTTGTTTAATGTGACAGCATGAGAACTTGATCTTTGTTTGTTTAAAAAAGTCTCGTGTTTAGCTTCTTTTAATGTGTTTGTCTGTGATTTCTAAATGCTAAGCATGCAAACATATAAATCGTCAAGGTTAATTCTGTACCCAGCCGCATGACTGATCTGCTTCCTGCCATGTCTCGGCTTTTTATCTATCTCATACTCTTTTCTCCCTCCCTCTCTTTTCCTCCCTCCCTCTATTTTGTGCCTTCATGTGGCAGTTGATAAAGTTACGTGAAGAGGTAAGTGCTGCTCTTCCTTCCCGTTTTGGTCTTCTCTTTTTCCCGTGGATCCTCCATTCATTTTCCCCCTTCGTCAGAATAAAAAAGGCCTAATCTGATTTTAAAGTCTCTTTTGATTGAGCTCAAAATTAGGCTAATTTCTACATACTGCTCTATGAGGAAATGAATCAAAGCTGTTTCACACCAAACCTTAAAAGATTTAATCAGCTTGTCAAAACATTCACCCAAAATGAAAACGCAATGAGACATGCTGTTATCTGGAGATCTGGATATGCTTTTATTCTCTTTTAGTGATGGGTCATGATGGTCAACTATTCGTCCAACACTATTTGATTAGTGAGGTTAACACTATTTTTTTCCCCCATTAGCATGCTGTGCTTTAGCTGTTAAGTAGTCTGCATGGTAAAATTGTGACTATATTTAAACAATATATTTAATTAAAAATGTCAAGTTAAAAATGTTAAAATATCACAGTTGCATTTAACCATCTAGCTGTTTTTGAACACAGATGCATCTTATAAGGCTGATATTATATTCTGTGCTATTTTGTCTTAAATTTTAAACAATGAAACAATAAAAATAAGTTGTAAACTAAAAAACAATCAGTTAAAATCTATATTAATTTTGAGATTTGTTAAAGATTATATTTAAATAGTCTTATTAAATCATTGTACATGCTAGATAAATTAAACCCAGCTTCCTTAGTGTAAATCCTAGTTTACAAACAGTGGCCTCTTCAAGGCTACCTCCAGTATAAAATAAAACATTAATTTGTTTAAATTTTTTTGTGAATTAAGTACACTACTGATAGTTTTTTTTTTTTTATTATTATTTATTTACTATTATATTATTTGTTAATATTTTGAAATGGCTTTTTTAATATTTTGGGTTTTCAGTTTAATTTGAGTATTTTTGTCATGTTTTTATTTTTATTAGTTTTTATATATTTAGATTTAGATTTCATTTTTTATTCAGTTTTAGTCAATTTAGTACTTAAAATGATTTGATTTCAGTAAGTTACTAAGTCAACATTTCTTGTAACATTTTTTTAAAGTTTTTATATTTTATTTATTTTGGCTTTATTTACAGCTTTATAATGAAAAAGGTTTCTAATAAGTTTAGTTAGCGATAAAAACACTGTCCAAAAATTTTGGTTCAATAAGATCTTTTAAATTTTGTTTTTATTTAAAAAAAAAAAATGTTTTTATTCAGCAAGGATGCATAAATTAATCAAAAGTGTCAGTAAAGACATTTATAATCAGAGAATCCTACAAACTTTTCCACAAAAATGGTAAGCATCACAACTGTTTTCAACGTTGATATAATAAATTTTTCTTGAGCACCAAATCAAGATATATGAATGATTTCTATAGGAGACATCAGGTGACACTGAAGTAATGGCTTCTGAATATTCAGCTTTGCCATCACTGGAATAAATTACATTTTGAAACATATTAAAATCTAAAACATTTTTCTTAAATTGTAATAATATTTCACAATATTACTGTTTTTACTGTATTTTTGATCAAATAAATGCAGTCTTTTAATATAAACATAAGGCACGGTTTTTCAGAAACATTAAAAAAATCTTGCTATCCCCAAACTTTACAATGTTAAGTGCTAATTTCATCTATATGTGCAATTAGATCACCTTTGTAGTATGTTTTACAGAGCATTTATTTTGAAAGTAATACTTTGAAGTATTTTCTTAAGTAGTATGCAGCAGGTGTAAACTCCTTTAACCTAAACTCCTAAACTCATTTACACCATATAAAATGAAGTATATTTAAGTGTTTGTTTACACTTTTTTGGCTTTTACCAGTAATTTATTAGCATACATGGCTTTAAATATAACAGAATTGTGGATTTACAGCCAATTGCCGTGTTTTCTTTGTGCACCATTAGGAAGCAGCCCACAGACGTTTCCCCCACTCAGCGGATGAGAATGCAATAGCCTGCCTTTTAGTTCGAGATAAGGGGACGATTTGTAATGTCTTTTTGTATTTGTACCATTCATCTGACTTGGAAGTGAGCATGTATGTGGATTACGGCAAAAGAGGCCGTCGTCTCGATCTGCGTATGCTTGTGTGTAGGTTCGCTCGCCGGTATCTTCATCTCCTGTCTAGGGTTGTGTGTGTGTGTTTTGTTGTTTGGATTTGGGATTGCCCTATTCATAGACACATGCAGACACACACAGACTACAATATCTAAAGATCTTCATTCATAAAGGAAGCCTCCTCTCAGTGGAGGACTGGATAGCACTGCATCATGCTTCTGCCTGCCTTTGTAAAGATGTTTAGTAAGTGATTGCTTATCTTTGAAGATAACAGTATTTACAATGCAAATTTCTGATCCTTTCTATCTTGGAGAAATTGTAAAGGTGCATTAAATATTTATGGGTGGAAAAATGAAAAACCTTATCTTCGCTTCTGTCATCTTATGAAAGTAAAACGACACTTGCATCATTTTACTAATTCATAACTACTGTAAGTATGTGTCATCCTGTTATGTACTGTAAAAAATAACAACACAAATTCAAATATAATGATCTGAAGTGCCTGATAATTTTCTGTACTCTTCCACATCTCAAAGCTACACCAGAAACATTCAAGTAAACAATACAGAGCATGCTAGAAGATCATCTTAGCTCAAATAGAAGAAGAAATTCAGTAGTGCCTCTGCTTTGGAGGATCTTTGTAGACTTGTGTGTGTGTGTGTGTGTGTGTGTGTGTGTGTGTGTGTGTGTGTGTGTGTGTGTGTGTGTGTGAGTGAACATCAGTATATTGTTTAGATTTCTTCACTTCCTATTGCTGAATAATCCCATCTGTGGAGCCACACCACCTCCTGCATTTATAATTTACAGCCCCTCACAGTTCTGCGTTCTTTGCTACCTTGACTTGTGTGTTTCTCCTTTTTTGTTATTGTTTTTCTCACATGGCCAAACAAAATGGGAGTATAGCATTTTTTCAGCCTTGGGTCAAAAGACACCTTCAGTGGGTTCAGCCGCCCCTTGTTTTTACCCCAGAATGTGTATACACTTATATGTGTATAGCTGCTTTTAAATCACGTTTTTTTCTTCTTCTCCCATTTTACTGAATTTGAATCAAAGCCCGTGCAGCTTATACACACTTAGCCTGTTTTTAAAACTGTACTTTTCCTCAGCTGGAAAACATGTTTAAATATTTAGCACCCTTATTCACAGCTGTTTGAAATAATAAGGAATCATAAAAACTTTAGAAAATTGCGATTGTAAGCGCTTGTGTTTGATTTGAGAGAAGGGAAGACGATTCTTTTGAGTCACATTCGCATTGTTCCTGGGTTCCACGTTAATAACTTACAACTGAAGTGCAGTTCTTCACAAAAGAAAAAGAAATGACTAAGAAAAAAAACAAAAAAAAAATTCTCGTTTATAGTATCTAAGAACGTCTTTGTAGGAAAAAGTAGGTGTCAGATAAAAAGGCATACATACATTGGCACAAATGAGAAGGGGCGCACGCAGAGGCGGTCGCAAGCGCACCAATATTTATCATGCCCTCTTTAAAAGAAGCTTCTGTTGAACTCCATAAGACCAAAAAAGAGAGAAAATTTTGACAGTCCTGCCGCTCCAATAGTGAATAAATCAAGAAAAAAGAGGTTTCTTTTATTCAGGTCATTTTGGTCTATGAAAGTGAGCGATATGCATCTAGGACTTTTTGTTTGAAGTATATGAACTGATATGTCTAACGTGCTTTGTTACTCATAATCATCTCCTTACGGGTGCATTTGGATCCAAAACGTGGGACGTTTATCGAAAACAAATCCGCTGGAGCAAGGTAATTCGTTTTGATAGGTGATTCTTTCACGTTTTCAGGAAGTCGCGCCATTGTCGTCACTGCACCTACACGGCCACCTTCGCTGTTACCTCGGTGTGTGTCACCCCTATTCCCCCGCACCCCACACACGTGCACAATAGACATCAACAGCCCCCCCTCCCTCAGAAAAACAGACCGACTGAGGGAGTGAGAACAAGCGAGGGAGAGAAATTCAAGAAAAAGCTTTGAAGTGGCTTTCCGGCGCGCGAGTCTGCTGGCCGTCTCCCCGAGACGTGTCACCTTTGCCGAGAGGGAATAGGAAAATCACGTTTCGAATGGTAATGATAACATACTAATCACTTGAGCTCTTTGAAGACAGGGGAGCGAGCTACTCTGTCAGTATCCCCGGCTGCCTTGTGCTTCCAGGCACACAGGCACATCCCTGGTCTAGGTGTATTAGTTTAAGCGGTGCATGTCAATACGTCCCCTCCATCTCAGCTGATCCAGAGGGGCTCATTAGGCAGAGATGGCTCCCTTTTCCCCATATGCACTCCCACCCCCGTTCTCTCCTCTTTCTCTCTCCCTCTCTCCCTCCCTCTATTTCCCACTAACACCCCCTCCCTTAAACTATTAAAAAGTATTTCAGCTATTTTAAATGACATCTGTCAACCGAGAGGAGGAGAAGAAAAATGTTCAGACAGTTTTTTTTCCCTCTCTCTCTTTCCCTTCTCTGTGATTGTCAAACTTTGAAAAGTGGAATGTCGTCTATTTTTCATTTAATTTCCTTGGAGTGATTAGCCGCTATGTATTTTGACAGGTTAACTAGAACTGGAAACTTGTTTCTCTCGCTTTTTTTCCGCTGTCTTTATTCTTTCTGTGCATGTAAATAGGAATAAAGGTTAACGTCCTTTAGAAATATAGTTGCCTTTCTCTAGTATGTATTTACAAATAGAAATGCAGTGGTCTCATTTAGTGCTCACAGTCATAAATGATATGACTTGCCAGAAAATAGTGCACGAATCTTAGTTTTTTAGTATCTGCAATGGGGTTCAAAAGTTTAAGACTTAAGTTTTAAGAAAGTTTTAGGATTGTGCCAAATTTTAAACAAAGAAACGATATGATGTGAAATGAATGAGAAATATTTCAGATTCTGAACAATTTTAAGTCACTAATACATAAGTGTAAATTTGTGACATTGATCATGTGAACAACTTTGTACTGACTGGCAATGTTCCATTGATGCACAAGATGCTCTTTGGATCATTCTCAAATCATGCTGAATCACACGATCATCAGGTTTTAAAGGGAAAAAAATGGGGACAAACTAAAGACATTCTGAAATTCATTTTAATTTTTCAATTTAAGTTTTCACTTAAATATATTTTTTACAAGTGAACTTTTGGACCCCACTGTATTTTATTTTTAGCACTTCTATATTTACTTTTATGAGATATCTAGTTCTATATCAAATACAATACCATTCAAAACGTTGGGGTCAGTAAGTTGTTTTACAATTTTTTTTTTTACTTATTATGAAGTTCCACAAAAATATTAAACAGCACTTTTTTCAACTGTTATAATATTAAGAAAGGATTCTTATGCACCAAATCATCACATATGCCATCACAGGAATATTTAAATATATTCAATTTTTATTTAATTATTTATTTTACAATACATTTTTTTGTAATTGTAAATTGTAATAATATTTCACACACCGTTGTTATTTTACTGTATTTTAATGTTGTTGTTATTTTATGTTCTCAAAAGATGAGTCTGAGAACACTTCAGTGTTTTCAGTATGGCATCATCAAATGCTGCCCACAGTGTGCAATATTAATGCATCTGACCCTTGACCATGATGTTCATTTTAATCTTACATTTATGACTTCTGACTTTGTAATTTTGTAACTCAACACAAGACGAACCAACCTTTCCTTGAAAAAGTTTACACACCTTGTTGGTTTGCATTATTTACAGTGATCCCTAAAACATCCAAACTGCACTGTAGAGAAACCAGCAAGTGTTTTAGACTAAAGTGTCAGCATACACTTTAAAAAATACAGGGTCCAAAAGTTTTTTTTTTTTCACATTGATGCCATTAAATAACTATTTTGGGTTCCCCAAAGAACTTTCAATGGAACAATTCTTGCAAGAACCATTTTTTTTTCTTAGTGTGAAGAACTTTTTAATAATCTCAATAACCTTTTTCTACTATAAAGAACCTTTTGCGCTATGTAAAGCTTCCATGGATGTTTAAGATTTTCATTGAACCGTAGATGCCAATAAAGAACCTTTATTTGTGAGAGTGTACACAACAAATAAATAACATAGTGTAACAAGGTTTATGGTGGCATCCTGACCTTGTCAGACTAACAGATATTGGGTAATCTGAAGCAACATTTGAAAATGTATTACAGCTCAATTAGCCATCCCTCCCATGCTAATCTTTGCCCTGGTTTTAAATGTGATGTAATGATATCTGGCAACACCTTCAGAACAAAGCCACTGCAAGAAGGAAGCCTCAATTAAGAAGAAAGAAAGGTGTTAGATTGGAGCTCCGTCCTTTTTTTGCTTTGGAATTTGCATGCAGATCAGTCCAATTTATGAAAACGCAACTTATAATTAGATGTTCTCAAATCAATGTATAAGTTAAATTAAAACTAAGTGGTCTGTACCCTTTTGTCCTAGTGTGTCTATTATTGTGTGTTGAATAGGTCTCTGTAAATAATGTCCCAGTCTTCTCAATCACTCTCATTGTTTTCTTTCCATCTGTGGTTTGTTTTCAGAGAGCACATCTGTTGGACAACACAGAGAAGCTGGAAAGGTCATCTCGGAGGCTGGAAGCTGGCTACCAGATAGCAGTGGAAACCGGTAGGCATTCTGGGTAGGGGGGTGAGCGACAGCAAATTGTCTTGCTCGTATGTGCGGTAAAAAGTGAGAGAGTGGGGAAAAAAACGCCTTGACGACTGGTGACATTTTCAGGAGCACATCAAAGAGAAGCAAGGGAGAGAGAGGTGTAGAGCAGCAGCCGCAGTACTGTTAGGCTCACACAAAACACACCACCTTATTTCCATTCACCTACCTGTGCGTGTGTGTGTGTGTGTGTGTGTGTGTGTGTGAGAGAGAGAGAGAGAGAGAGAAAGAGTTTTTAATATGGGTACCAAATGATGGCGTGTCGACTAGAATAAACAACAACAGCCTGCCTCCACCATCCTGCAATTTTTCAAGCTAAATAAAGACCGAGATCTTTTAATAAACTGATTTCTAAATAAAGCACCTTAGACGTCATCTGATTCGCTCCTGTCTGAAGGTTAGTTTTTATCTTTAAATACAAGAAAATGAACTAATTTAGATCTGAAATAGATTGAATCAGCAGTCTTTTTTTTTTTAGCCTGGCTGTCACCGTGTTGTTGAAGCAGAGTGTATTCCTCAGAGACGTATCAAAGCTCATTCTTCAAGAAGCTACTGGCTTTCTTTGGCTTCTGTCTTAGTTTTGAAAAGTTTGTTAATTTACACTATAATGGCAGGGTGGCTTGTGTGCGACGTCGACACAGTTAATAATTCAAATCAAGAAAGGGTTGCACAGACCACTGGCGTTTGATGTCTCGCAAGAACAACTCACAAATTCATAAATGCAATCTGCATCCTCTGCTGAAAAATTTAGTTTCATTTATTTTGGATCCTCTCAAGCCCGTGCTTCATTTTTTTAAATTCCTGCCCTGCATAAGATTATATATAGATATATATATATATATATATATATATTCAGTTCACCGAATGAAGGCCCTTTGTTTTTCTGCTATTCAGACATATTTTTTTACTTATGTCTGCCCAACTGAATTACCTGCTTCTCTAGTAGATACCAAAGCGGAAGCCCATACACTTCAATGGTGGGATCAGACCCCCTTTGAGAGGAGTTTTCCCCCATAAAGGACGGTTTTTGCCTCAGAGCCGTCACAATGCTGCACCGCTTCCACTGCTCTCAGTGTGGGAGCCGTAAGCACAGAAGAATGCCTGTTTACTCAGCCCTTCTCTAACCGCATTAAAGTGCAACTCGGCCTGTGCGTCTCACTCCTGTGATCCTAATCCCTGACCCCGTACCCCACCGACCACTCCAACACTCAAGTACACATACACCTGCATTTTAAAAGCGTAGCGGCAGGTAGTCCTAAACTGAAGTGGCCCAAAAAGGACAAACCCTGTACTTTTGGGATTTGGGCACAGCAACCGTGCGCAAAATGCACAGTGATCGCTCGCACAGAGTCGGGGTAAACACAGACCTGCTTTGGTGGCTGTTGAGGAGTAACATGGGATGCGCTTTGTTTGGGTTGCGGCGGTGACCCTCGCTCTCTGTGTCACACTGAGGCGGATCGGCGAGTTTATGGAGCATGTGCTAAAATTCACTCGAGCGGCAATCCACACCTGCTACAGCGCCGGCAATTCGGGTTTCTGCTTTCCTGTAACAAAACAAAACAATTTAAAATTAGTATAGAGAAGAAATAGTTATATAAATAATACTAATAATAAATTAATAATTAAAATATATTTTATATTTCTATATTTGCTATATGTTTTTATATAGTTTTTCTATTTTATAAAATAATAATTAGTTATTTTATATGTTGTTTTTGCTTAAACTATGCTATTACTTTAAGACACACACCCAGACAAACACAAACAATACATTTAAATCTTTAAATAATAGCTTACTTAAAATCTAAACATGCCGTACGTTTGTTTACACATTTTATCATTACTTTGTATATTTTATAAATATAAAGTAATAGAGTATTTTTATATATATATATATATATATATATACTTGTAAAGTCTTTAATGTAATAGCATATTTAGAATTAAAATAATTGTTTAAATATTTTTAAAATTACTATAACATTTACTCCATAGTTACGATCACATTTTCTTCATCATTTGCATCACTTTATTTAAATAAGCACTGAGCACTAATAATGCACAAAACTGCTTAAGATTTAATTTTCATTATTTAAAATTAATTTGTAATATAAAACAACTGTTAAAACCTGGATTTTTTTATTATAATGCAAAAATCTCCTAGGTTTGTAGTAAAACTGTGAGGATCCTCCATATTGTATTTATTTATTTATTTATTTATTATGTAATTTGAATCTGATTTATATATATATATATATATGTATGTATGTATATGTATATGTATGTATGTTCAGTTTGAAGGCCGAAGGCCCTTTGTTTTTCTGCTATTCAGACATATTTTTTTACTTATGTCTGCCCAACTGAGCTTCTCTAGATATATATATATATATTCAGTTCACCGAATGAAGGCCCTTTGTTTTTCTGCTATTCAGACATATTTTTTTACTTATGTCTGCCCAACTGAATTACCTGCTTCTCTAGTAGATACCAAAGCGGAAGCCCATACACTTCAATGGTGGGATCAGACCCCCTTTGAGAGGAGTTTTCCCCCATAAAGGACGGTTTTTGCCTCAGAGCCGTCACAATGCTGCACCGCTTCCACTGCTCTCAGTGTGGGAGCCGTAAGCACAGAAGAATGCCTGTTTACTCAGCCCTTCTCTAACCGCATTAAAGTGCAACTCGGCCTGTGCGTCTCACTCCTGTGATCCTAATCCCTGACCCCGTACCCCACCGACCACTCCAACACTCAAGTACACATACACCTGCATTTTAAAAGCGTAGCGGCAGGTAGTCCTAAACTGAAGTGGCCCAAAAAGGACAAACCCTGTACTTTTGGGATTTGGGCACAGCAACCGTGCGCAAAATGCACAGTGATCGCTCGCACAGAGTCGGGGTAAACACAGACCTGCTTTGGTGGCTGTTGAGGAGTAACATGGGATGCGCTTTGTTTGGGTTGCGGCGGTGACCCTCGCTCTCTGTGTCACACTGAGGCGGATCGGCGAGTTTATGGAGCATGTGCTAAAATTCACTCGAGCGGCAATCCACACCTGCTACAGCGCCGGCAATTCGGGTTTCTGCTTTCCTGTAACAAAACAAAACAATTTAAAATTAGTATAGAGAAGAAATAGTTATATAAATAATACTAATAATAAATTAATAATTAAAATATATTTTATATTTCTATATTTGCTATATGTTTTTATATAGTTTTTCTATTTTATAAAATAATAATTAGTTATTTTATATGTTGTTTTTGCTTAAACTATGCTATTACTTTAAGACACACACCCAGACAAACACAAACAATACATTTAAATCTTTAAATAATAGCTTACTTAAAATCTAAACATGCCGTACGTTTGTTTACACATTTTATCATTACTTTGTATATTTTATAAATATAAAGTAATAGAGTATTTTTATATATATATATATATATATATATATACTTGTAAAGTCTTTAATGTAATAGCATATTTAGAATTAAAATAATTGTTTAAATATTTTTAAAATTACTATAACATTTACTCCATAGTTACGATCACATTTTCTTCATCATTTGCATCACTTTATTTAAATAAGCACTGAGCACTAATAATGCACAAAACTGCTTAAGATTTAATTTTCATTATTTAAAATTAATTTGTAATATAAAACAACTGTTAAAACCTGGATTTTTTTATTATAATGCAAAAATCTCCTAGGTTTGTAGTAAAACTGTGAGGATCCTCCATATTGTATTTATTTATTTATTTATTTATTATGTAATTTGAATCTGATTTTTTGATCGCACCTACACTGTGTCAGTGAGGAGACTCTGTGTGTGTGTGTGTGTGTGTGTGTGTGTGTGTGTGTGTTTTTAAGGGTGTTTTAGTGTGTGGTGCATTCAGTCCTGCACTAGCAGCATGTCAGGAGCACTCCAAGCCCTCAGAGAGATATTGAGAGTGCTCTCTGGACATGCAGAGCTTTTTACCAAACTGTTTGTCTCATAAATAAAGTATGGGTCTTCATTAGGAGAGGGCACCCACTTTAAAGCTGCCTGAACCAGAGGCACGCCGGCCTGAAGAGAGCCTGAAGTACAGTAGGAGGGAGCAAAGCAGCCAATTTAAAGGCATTTAAATCAGAGATGTCCCAGAGCTCACTAGCGTTAAATAAACCCTAATCAAAGAAGTGCCTGGCTGTTTATGAAAGCCAAGGAAGTGGGCAAAAGATGTTTTGTATGGAGGAAAATAAAATACCTAAGGGGTATAATTCTGTTATTTGAAGAATTAAATTTTTTGTTATCTGTCACATTTGGGGTTGTTGAAGGATTTCAGAATATTTAGTTGTATTTTTTCCTAAGAAAACATTTTAGTCAGTTTGTAGAATGACCTCAAAATCTATTAATTAATCAAAATTAATTTTAACGGAGTGTCCGATATAAACAAACGAGCCGCGAGAACAGGGTCCTTAAGGAGCAGAGCGGTGGCCTTTGAATACGCAATAGCCGCTGCGGCAGCGGATCGATGGGGCAAAATGAAACCAGCTCATTAGGGATTGATTTCAGTAGTGTTTAGATAAGCAGAGTGGGTCGGGGCCTGGCCCCTGGGGCCCTCACCAGGGCCCAAAGTTCACGCAGAGCCAGGTAGAGAGTGTCTCTGCAGGCCATCATCTTTATTAGCACCCAGATAAGCTGATTAGGCCTTGTCAATCAAAGGTGCCAGTGACTCAATCGCGAGGCCCTTCTTTCTTTCTCTCTCTCCTTCCTTTTTTGTGATAAATCATTGAAGCGACCAACAAAGCAGTAGCCATGGCGGCTAAGCTAAGCAGCCCTGCAGTTGTCACCAAGGCAGACGACGCAAGGACCCTGTGATGATGTGACGACTGTATTAAAGAGTACATCAATTTGTTTGAGAGCGGTTTGATTTTTTTCTGCAGTGGTATTAAAAGAGCATGCGAGGGGGGAGAGAAGTTATTGT